TACTCTTGGGTTATGGACTCTTGATTTCGCTATGAGCGCAACTTTTGAAGCAATTGAAGTCCACGACTGTGATTTGTGTTCTCTTGGTAATACCGTATGTACATGCACTTACAACCTGTTTGATGCTGACATGTAGTGTGACCCCCTGGTGATCACTGACATCACCGTCAAGTGATAGAATGATGTCACCATTGCCCTGTTTGGCTCCTTTCAATGGGATATCGGCAATCGGTATGGCAACGGTACCGAACACGCTGTCGTTTGTCTCATCATTATCGTCATCCTGGTAAATCTGCGTGCAAAGCAGAGATGCAAGAGAGGAGAGATGGATTTAAAGATTGAGAGCACGGCAGTGAATGTCTAGGTGCAAAAGGTAGTGAGAAAGAAGGAACGAGTGAGTGAGTGTGTGCGCGTGCGCGCGTGTGTATGTGCGTGTGGGCGTGTCCGTGCGTGAGAGAGAGAGAGAGAGAGAGAGAGAGAGAGAGAGAGAGAGAGAGAAAGAGAGAGAGTCCAGAACTCGGCAGTAGACACAACTCTACCTCAAGTTGCCATCAATGTGTCTACAGTCCACTTCAAAACTATAGACGCGTACCTAGGCAAAAACCGTTATGCCAGCATCTATATCACATAAAATCTGTGATCACTTTGTGCATAAATTTTTCCAAATTGGGCGTCTGTTATCCAATCGTTTAGAAACTATATGAGAGTATATATATTGTGGAGCGGACCTGAGCAATATTCCGAAAACTATTCTCAAAAAGTTCCAGCCAAATTTGAAATATTTCAAAAACCCTACGCGTCTATAGTTTTGAAATGGACATTGGCCCATACATCTACAAATATTCGCAGCATCGACTGTTAACCACTTTGAGGATCGACTCCAGTAGTCTTATGGTCACTTCACTCACATCGATGACCAGATTATGGGCCGAGCTGAGGGGCTTGACAGCAAATCCGAGCTGGTCGCTGAAGCTCAGCAGACGCTCGCCATGAACGGTCTGCGACATAGCACACTGCGTATGCAGTAGAAACAGTGAACAATATTCAATGTATGATCTCTGCTGCATAATACTTCAAGTACACAAAAGAGAGAGATAGATAGAGAGAGAGAGAGAGAGAGAGAGAGAGAGAGAGAGAGAGAGAGAGAGAGAGAGAGAGAGAGAGAGAGAGAGAGAGAGAGAGAGAGGAGGGAGAGAGAGAGGGTGGGGGGGGGGGAGAGCTGTGTTGCAACTGAAGGTTTCACGTAGTCACGATCATCAGGCAACGTACTACAAGACACGCGGGCAATGGCAAGTAAGAGATCGGACTGACAGTGTTTGCTAGATATTACTACAGTGAAACCTATCTAAGACGACCGCTCAAGGGACCTGAAAACGTGGTCTCTTTTCCCAGGTGGTCTCCTTATCCAGGGTCGTTTGACTGGAAATAATATCCCTTGGTCCTGGTTTCAGTGGTCTTCTGAGAGAGAGGTGGTCAGCATATCCGAGTTGTCGCCTTGACAGGCTTTACTGTATCTGTAGGTTGTGGCCTCATCCGGGGCGGACTGCATTCATGATATTAGCAGGGTTCTAGCCAAAGCCACGTAGCGGGGCGCTGCGCCCTCCTTCACTCTTCGATCGGCCCCTTTCAAAATGAGTGCGCAACCCTTCAGAGTGCGAGTGCCACCCTCTTATATGCATTATAAGTACACATTATAATACTATAATATTATAGTATCACAGAATAAAAAAATAAAAATGGCAGTAAAAAATAATCACAAAAAAATCGGGTCCGATGATCCCTGACGTTTGTTCTGACTACAACCCTGGTTAGTCACGGTTAGTTGTTCCGCAAAATAAATCTGTTCACTAGCTCGAACACACCCCATTTTCAGTTCCCAGCCATATTGCTCCAACATACCCCGGAGGATGTACCCACTGTGCTCCAATATATTCACATAAGTGGGATGTAACGTTCATATGTAACCCCACCTCCCCTTCTTTGCCCTTGAAGTTTCGTGTAAAAGATTCGACACCGATAACTTTTTTGGAGAAACAATCATTTGCTGAGCACTTCCTGCATCAGTTGCTGGCCTTTGAGGCATTGTGCTACAGCCTTTATTGTGACATCAACCACACCCAAGGCACATTTGCAATCTGTGTTGGAGTGCATGCCAGGTGGAAGACACAGGGTACGTGGGGTTCCGTGAGACTTTCAGATCAGTGAATATGGCACCTAATATTGAATGTGGAAGAGTCAGTTTGGCTGGTTCCCGTGCTTTGAAGCTTATTTGTGACTAGTTGCTTTCTTACCAGAGTAGCTGGCACTGCAGTGCATTTTGTCATCTACAACAGTGCGTATCATTCCAATTTGGTTGAGAAGTCGGTCACATATGATTACTACTTCAATGAAGTACAAGTACAAGTCTGACAGCTGCATATCAGGGAGTTGTAAAATGCCAGTATTTTACAACTCCTTCGGCTGCATACAGCCACTGTACGGCATACTACTGACCAGTGTGTCTTGGCGTACCGCTCCCAGCTGCACCTGAGCATAGTATGCTTCGCCGGCCTGCACAATACAGATAGCATTACAGTACTGTAGCCGAGGAACTGGGGGGGGGGGGGGGGGGGGGGGCAGCCATCTAGCCTAGACAGTTCTGATTTTTCATGTATTACAGTCTATGCGCAGTTGAGTCACCGTGTATACATGTACATTGATACGCTGTGCTTGATGAAATTCTAGCCTGGCCGTTCTTCGGCGCTCCGTTCTTCGGGGCTCTGTTCTTCGGCGCCCGCCAGTACTGCAGCACACAGGGACTATGCAGCCACGCACAGGCAGTACAGCCAAGCACTCACAGGCAGTACAGCAAAGCCCAGCAGTACAGCCACGCACAGGCAGTACAGCTCCGCGATGCATTCAACTGTGCACTGTGCACGGTCTCAAGCATGACATTCCCACACTGGTAGTAAGTCAGGACTGATGCAGGGAGTCTTAATCTGCACTCAAATAACCTAAATTCTTAAACATGCTATGACAATAAATCTATTGTTCGCCGCTGAGTCAGTCAGAATGTTCTAGATCAGCAGGAGCTCCACCACCCTCAAGGATGAAGGCGCAGATACAGCATCAAAAGCAGTGAGGGGAGTGGGTGGATCAGACCCACAACACACGAGAATTCAGGCCACCACATTCCTAATAACTGGCGGCTGCAGCACGTTGGAAAACAACCTTCTGATTCCAAGAAGGCATTGAATCAGGTACCCTCTGCTTCTCAGTCATTGTCTTAGTCTAGCACTCAAAGGCCCCATTTTCAAATAGCAAGTACAAGTACAACACTGCAATGATAACATTACAACTACTCACCACTAAGCATGTGCCCTCCCGTAGCAAGCTGTGATCGTCTAGTGGTTAGGACCCTACGTTGTGGCCGTAGTAACCCAGGTTCGAATCCTGGTCACAGCACACTTTTTTATACTCGTTTTACCTTTTTTTAATGCTGTGAAAAGCGAGTGACAGGCCACAATAACCTAAAAATAGTTTGTAGATCTTCGTCGTCTAAACAGGCCTATAGCTACGCACATCTCACTTATCCTAGTGTTTTTTTTTTTTTAACAATCAGCGCTAGGAAAGAACCAGACTAAAATGTAACCGAGAGAATATAAGAACCAAATAAACAATGGTGCTGTGAACATCTGGCTATAGCGTCAAAGGTAAAGCTGCATGTGTGCGAGCACACCGGACTCCTGACGTGGCTTTGTGTCGGCATCGTGAGTGGCATTGAGTGCCCTTAGCATTGCCAAGAATGCGCAAACGCCACTATAGGCTGTGAACAGGCAGCGCATTCTATATATTAACATTCTATTCCCTGTTCATGAGCAAAGCCGCACTACAAACTCTAGATTCACCGTACTTTTGCCTCCACGCCTCGGAGCTCCGCGAGGCTGACCAAGAATATGGTGGGCTGTCGCTCCGGGTCATGTGCTGCCTGACCTGATGCCGAGCCCTGCAAAGCATACAAGAAAAAACGGAAGTCGACAAAGGATACAGAAATTGTATTACAGAGATTAGCAATCATTTAATGACACACTACATACCAACAGTATTCTAATAGATGTGCGGTTGTGGTATTAAAGAGGTTACGGAGTACGATATTCCGTGCCAAAATCCATAGAGGCGCTACGGATTTTCTCGAGGCGTAGTCCATACGATTTTCTGGCAGAATCCGTGTGGACTGGCTTTCATACGAACCATGTTTCGTATGGAGATTCTGCGTCAAATTGATCAAAATGGCACAGAGCGAAATCAATTATGCCTCGGACCTTTCACTAATCCATACATTTGAGGGAGTTGAAAACGGGAAAGGTCTGAAGAAAAACTTGACTGCCACCACCAAGACTCAACCAGCGACCATCGCATATGGCCAGCGATGCTCTACCACTAAGCTATGGCGTAGTCGTCATCCCAGCAGCGACCGTTCAACATTTTCTTCAGACATCAAAACGCATGCTTCCTGCGAGTCTACACCGGCAGGTGGGACACAGCCCTCACTGTAACCCACATACTTCACGTACAAACTAGCACGCGGGGAGCCCCAAGCCATAAACGAGACAGAATCACCCAAAACAAAGTGCATCTTGAGCGACTCTTGACTTTGGATTGGGACATTCTACATCGCTCATGGTGCATTGTTTGCTCCTCTTTGAAATTGTGCCGCTGAAAACAAACTTAACTACAGTAAAGTCGCGGATAAAAGCCGGGTTTGCATACAAGCACATCGCGGATAGAAGCCTGAAAATCAAACGGGTCAAATGCATATAAGCCTGTCGCGTGTAGAAGCCTGGCTTCTATGCAAGCGCGGATCGGGTGGGTCAAGAGTGAATGCGCTATGTACGGTGCATAGTAAAACTGCCGCCATACCGGTAGTCAGTGGTAGATCTACGCGTGCCGATGTGCATACAAGCCTGGCAAAAAATATCAGTGGTGCATATAAGCATGGTTTGCATACAAGCCTGGTTTGCATTAAAGCCTGATGCAGAAAGCGGCTTATATGCTTATAAGCCCGGCTTTTATCCCCCACTTTACGGTAAGTCAAAACAAACAAACAAACAATTCCATTCATTGTGTTCATATCGCCCATAAAAGAGGCTTATTAAGAAGAACAAACAAAAAAGGATCGGGTCCATACCTGAACCTTAAAGTCGGTCTGCTTGTTGAGCACGGGTGTCCAGCGGAACTCCACGTCAATCACCCCGGACTTAGTGCCAGCCAAGGATAGAGTCTGCAGCAAGACCAAAGAGCAGTGTAGACACCAGATAGTATAATTATAGTGTAGTATTTATTCATATTTCTCTAGGGCATTCCCCACAGACCTATGGTCTCCTTACGGGGTACCCTAGCCAATCTAGGATTGTGATACGAAGTTGACTTGGTGAAGCAGCAAGGCGAACCGATGCCGGAACTGAGTTCCAGCGGTCAGCGGCTTACACTAACACACATGAAAGTACACATAGGACTTGTATGTGGGCTAGGCAGTATCATTTCCGTTCTTCCCACGGGTAAACACAAGTCTGCACCGAGAAGGAGACGATTTGGCAATGGGTGGGGGCTGCACAGTAACCAAGTACACTGAAGATGGGATGGGTGGCTCAGCCGGCAGTTCTGTCTTGGCGTAATCATCTTGTGTTGCCATGATGAGAATTCTTTCAATCTCGCCTTCGTCTGTGACCTTCAAATATTACTTTCTTAGAAACGATATAATAGATTCACGCTGTAAAATCAGCTCAAGGCACAATAGCTGTCTTGTCTCAGCTAAAAAGCCGAGAGCTACAAGAAAGTCAATCCCCACCGCTCTATCACTGTAAAGGCGTATGCGGTCTGTGCACATTACCATTCGCTTGCCATCTTCCTGTGCACTCGTGAGGTCGGACAAGTTGACTTGTGCCCTGCCGAAGTTTTAAAGCCAAATGAGTCGTTTGAACGCATGCGTATGTACACACATGCACACGCACATGCACACATACACACCCAAGCGCATGCACACACGCATAGACAAAAGGACACAAACATTGACACACATAGAAGCTTGCACATGCACATACACACACACACACACACACACTCAGACATGCTAATTGCGGAAGCGATGATAGCGAGCAGGTACGTTAGACACAGCAACTTGTGCTGAGATTTCACCCTTCAACAGCTTGCAAGGCTGATGAATTGACCGCCACTAATTTTAGCCTGGTCTACACCACACAGCTGATTGAAGTAGCTTTTTCTGGTCAGTGAATTCACCCCCCCCCCCCCCCCCCCCCTCTACACACACACACACACACACACACCATAAAGACACATTCATGCCATCGCCTGAAAATCGACACAGCAGCCATTCACAGTACAACACCCTTTCACATGAGATCTGCTTGATAGGCAGAACTGGCTCGCCCTTTGCGGACTCATCTGTAAACTAAACGGAAAGCATGCACACATATCGTACTGTATCAGGCTTATCATCCTCTGCTTCGGCAGTGCAGTTCCATAGGGTGTTCCACACACCTTTGAGGAACAATGCAGGTACTACTTGTCACGACACCCAGTCACAGCCAATGGAGTGTACGCTCCAGCAACAATGCATCCAATCATCCATCCGCAATAGAGCATGCTTCCGCAACAAGCATCGTCGTCTAAAGGAAGAAACCCAAGCAACCGAGTAGTACCTTCCGATGCTGTCAGATCCGATAAAGCCTTTGTCACGCACTTCAAACACCACCAACAAACCGTCATGTTCCAGGAGAGGGAACTAACGTCAGTGCACAAAGAAGAACAGATCAAACACCCATCCATTGTGTCGGGTACAATGCCAATATGGAGACAAAAAAACAAATTACGGCAAGAAGCTCATTACGACAAGGAACGCTTGATGATAAGGAAAACATGATCACAAGAAACAAATTATGGCGTTGATCACACAATGCCCTTTGCAGTTATCAAGGGCCTATGCTTTTTGCAACTGGGGAAAGGGGCTGCATACCCACGGTGGTCTGTGACAGAGAGACGATAAAAACTTATATCCACACAAGCTCAGGAAATACAGTGTGCATGGCGACTGGTCTAGGTAGATGTATGCTCGGACTTAATCTTCTCCGTAGAGCACAAGAGGGGCCGTAACCAGACTTCACAAAACACCGTATTCTGCGAACAAGGACAACCTTGTCTATACAGACCAGTCGCCATGCACACTGTATTTCCTGAGCTTGTGTGGATCTAAGTCTTTATCGTTTCTCTGTCACAAACCACCGTGGGTATGCAGCCCCTTTCCCCGGTTGCAAAAAGTATGGGCCCTTGATAACTGCCAAGGGCATTGCGTTTGTTCAACGCCATCATTTGGTTCTTGTCATCAATCTGTACCAAGAGAGTATAAACCAGTACTGATCCAGATTTGCTCATTGCCGCGTGTTGTCTGATGATCGCTTGGTGCGCGAAACTCGGAATGAAACACTTTTTCGTCCTCTTAGTATTGTTTGTACCAAGAGAGACATTGATACGCCACCAGTGCTCTTGGCGACCGGAAAACACTTTGAACTAGAAGGAAACGGCATCGTGTGCTCACTCCATTGTAACATGCACACTGATGTCCAGTACTGCTCAATGAAATCCAGTCGCGTCACTTATGTATTGCGCAGCCATAGACCTGCGGACACTGGGCTGCAAAGTAATGCAAGGCGCAGACTTGAGTGACGCGCCTGGATTTCATTGAGCAGGACTGTACATTGCCGACGTACATCGAATGTCTCGTTGAATTCTGCACTCTTCGTGTCGTCCACTTTGCCAGTCGTTCTTGTCTGCTCCCTCACTGTATAGTTTTATGACAAACGGAAAGAAATGGAATATAAACACATGGATCAGATATCCGAGATCACTGGTGAGACGACGTCAGCATACGGGACTCGTATAAGAGCATGCATTTCCATGTAAGAAGAATGCACCTCAGGGGGAAAAAGCAAATCTTCGATCTGTAAATACCATGTTTCGGCTGTACAGGAGATTACGGGACATTATCTTAGAAGTTTGAGCAGGCTGTGAACGTCTCCAGGTAAACTACCCACGGCTACATAATCCACCACTGTTATTGATCAGTTTTACACAGTTCCCGCGGTACCAGATCAGAGTAATTTGTTGAAATCAAACAATACGCCTTCAGTTCTATTTGTTGAAATCTTAGGCAATGACTGTGATACAGTAAGATACATGTAGGACTACAAAGCACCACGGCCCGGGAGTGCTCCACCACTGCCACCCACTTCCTGGTCACGTTCTGAGGTGGCGTCCCGGGTGCAAGTTATATGACAAGCGTCGTGTACATGTACACCCGTTGTATAGTGTGCATGAAATCCAAATTAAGTGTCTTCGAGCAGATGCAAGTCCCACACAAGAACCTGCAAGGGTAACTTCACTCAGTTACTTCAGTACACTGAGGTTCTCACAATGTCACTTAGTCACACTCTGCCATATGATTTCCCTTTCGCTGGTTAAAAAATCAAGGTGGGACGCTCTCGCAAGGTGGAGCGCTCCCATGGTACTTTACAGTATCTGTCCTAAGTCATGAGCAGAGACTACGATCAATCTCAGCCCACTGCTGCATAGGGATAGCCAAAAAACACCCGTCATGACAGTAGACTGACCGATCACGTTGACAAATATGTCACATTTCTCCTCCAGGTCCTTGACACTGACGATAGTCACTGACATCACACCCTGCAGAACAGACAAATGCACACACATACACACACACACAAGTGTACGTGTACAAACACACACACACACACACGTGCACACACATGCACACACACACACACACACACACAAACACACCTGCACACACACACACACACACATGTGTACACACACACACCAGTACACACACACACACACACACACACACACACACACACACACACACACACACACACACATACACACACACACACACACACACATACACACACACACACACACACACACACACACACACACACAAACACCAGTACATGGTAAGGGGGAGGCGATCATTGCGGTTCCCAAATCCGTTGAACATGCCTCCTCTTTGACAATGTGCCCATCATTATGTGACTATTGAGGCAACGAAGTACAAGTAAGCAAGGAAAAGGTGTGACAAAAGATGTACGGAATACAGGCTCTGGACTGGCACAGAACTCCACTGTGCCCTTCATTGCGCTATTCGCCAACAGGAACAATGCAACCAAGTCCTTCCTTGCCTTTACTTGGAGTCGAGGCAGATGCCGTCTGATGAGTGTTTTCAGACACGAAACTCTGCGTTACGGCAAGGAAAGACCTGGTTGCTCTGTTGCCGTTTGTGAATTCAATGAACTGTAATACTGGCTCTGTCCACTGGACACAGAGCCTAAGGATCTCAGACAATTCTATTTCCATCATTGTACATGGACGTAGCAAGAACGGCAAACTGTATTTGGCGGCAATTGCTGGTGTAATTGACCTTGGGTACCGTGATGCATTCTTTCTGGCCATGCTATGATATGTGCCCACAGTATGTCAGGTACTGAACATTCGTTCACTGGGTATGCTGGTGTCTAGCCAGTGTGATGTCAGGTTAGGGGTTTGCCTTCATGACTCGGTAAGGCGAATAGGCATACCCTGACTACTTGGACACATAATCATGTCAACTGGACAGAACGTACTCGCGGCGATGGGCGGCTGAGCTCCTGCGTCGTGATCCCAGCCGTAGGGTCGATGATCACTGACTTCCTGTTCGGGAAGACGATGGCCTTCGACAGGTACTTGTTGATAAGGTAATTCATACCAGGCCTTTTGAAAACACAAACACGCAAGGACAATGAAGTGCAATGCATGATTACTATATTGTGTCAACGTAACAAATGCTTGGAATAAAAGTGGGTAATCATTTAATTGAAACCTAACCCCTTCTACTGTGCGCATCACAGTTGCAGTTCTCAGCACACATCCCCAATATATCCCTTGGTGCCCTAGTCAGCATCCAATACTAGTATGTTCAGTTGTCTGATGATTGGCCTTATTGCCATGAAACTTGGAGTCACAACAAAAGCAAAGTTTCCCGCCGCCGTGAACTTGTGCAACTAAGATACTTTTTGAGCAAAACAATTTCACGGTTCGCGTGAGACACAGCTGGAAACCGAGTTTTCCGCATCCGTAGGAACGCCACCACCCTTCAAGGATCAAGGCGCAGATGCAGCTCCTAAAGCGGTGGGAGGTGAGTAGATCAGCTCACCAGCAAGTGGTCAAAGACCGAAAATCCCATTCACTGCATCCATGTTCTCCTCATGCTAGGCCACGCGTTCCCAATTAACTGTGGGTCTTGAGCAAGAGCCTGCATAAAATTTCATTCAGGTGTTGCAGAAACAGATCAAGCATCATAAAGCAAGCCTACATGCCTTTCGGCAATCAAGTTGAACACACGGCTGTACATACATACCGGGTCAGTGGAGTGTCGGCAATCACAGCTGCTCCAGTCAAGTCAAAATCTAATTTCTACGCACGTACAACAAAAAAGACACAAAACATCAAGAGGTTTGCTGCAGGGAGGACTCGTAGGAGGCAGGTCACTAAAGCTTCTAGTAAGAATGGCACTCCCGTGAAGCGTCGTAAGCCAAACTGTATGGTTCAATAGCCGGATGGCAAGTGTGAAAGTGAGATGCAACACATACCCCTGTGGGTCGGGATGTGTTGCTTGGTTACGTTGTGGAAAACTCTCCCCCCCCCCCCTCCCCCCTCCCATGAGTACACTGTGGCAATAAAATTCTCCTCCAACTCTCAACACGGCTATGTACGCCGTTCGTTGGAACAGCGCTGAGGCAATGTTGGAACAGTATCGGGGCAATGTTGGAACAGTATTGGGGCAATGTTGGAACAGTATTGGGGCAGTATTGGGGCAGTATTTGGGCAATGTTGGGACAGTATAGGGACAAGCTAACTTACAGGAGCTTGCATGAAGAAGAATGAGATGGCTGAGAAAGGCAGCCTTCCACCTAGCGGTCCCAGCAAGGCACGCAAACGTCCACGCAGCTGCGGTGAACAAGAGCACACAGACACAGACACCTCAGACCTCAGACCTCAGACATGCCCATCGCGAAAGCGATGATAGCGAACAGCTATGTTAGACATAGCAACTTGTGCTGGGATTACACCATTCAACAGCTTGCAAGGCTGATGAATTGACCGCCACTATTTTTAGCCTGGTATCCACCACACAGCTGTTGTGTACACACACACACACACACACACACACACACACACACACACACACACACACACACACACACACACATTCATGCGCAAACGCAATGTTCATGAGGACCCGTTTTACAAGAGAAGCACGCAGATCTGCAAGTGCACTGAATCCACAATCGTACACCTACGGATTTTCTCTTGTAACTTAGAAAATACAGCGGGGAAGATCTGAATGACCCAGATCAAGATAGGCACGAAGTAAACTCCCCAACCCATAACCCCATACACATACACATACACATACACACGTGCGCGCACGCGCACACACACACATACACACATACATACACACATATGCACATACATATACATGTACAGTCAGACCTCGCATAACCGCACACATCTGTTTTCCACAAAAATATCCGGATAGGCGAGGGAACCGGATAACTGAACACACATACTGGATATGCAGGTGGCATGTCAAAAGCAGTGGCATCGTACATACATGTAGACGGGTCCTATGCACTGCAACTAGCGTGCACAGTATGTAAAACAAGCGAGAAAAATGACAAGTGCATGCAACTGAGTGCTGTCCACATGCACCCAGCAGGTCAAGGACCTCATTTGCCTGTACAACTCCCTGATTCTAGCTTCTGCAAGGCACATGCAACCGGATACGACGAAGCTTTTTGTACACATTTCAACCAGTTTGTACACGAAATCATGCACCGGTATGCGGATCGCGAGGTCCGGTTATGTTGTATGCATAACATATGCTGCACATCGGTAACCAGCGATTTTCTTCCGGATGGCGAGGGATCCGGATGAACGAGGACCGGATAAGCGAGGTCTGACTGTACTCAGTTTGATGCAGCCAGGGGAACAACGTGCTCAGAATGGACTACCAGACGTTCTGACAGGCAACACGGGAACACACTGCAAAATTCACTTCACATGGGATTACATGATTGTAGTTCCTCTGAAACATGTGCACAAACTACACCAAGGAACTACAAGTTACGCTATACTGTTCACTAACACTAGCGCAACTTGTAGTTCCTTGGTCTTTCTCTTTTGTATAGATTATACCTTGGCTCTCCATCTGAGTACAATATACACCAATTGATAATTGCCACTCACTGAGACATTCTTGATTCCAAATGAGAGGAACAGCTCAGCGCTTCCCTCCGCATCACCATCGTATCTAAATATAATGGGAATTCAGAAAGCGCAAAAAGGCATGCTTGGATTTCGAATAGACTTGGCTCATGATT